AATGTGTTCTGCACTATCTTTAAAATATTGATTTCTTAATTTTGGGTTGGAAAAATGGGGGTCTTCTTGTACATGGGGGTGTCTTATTGACGGAAAAATACGGTATTTTGCTGTTAATACTCTAATATCTTGATTTAAGAATCTATTTTGTTTCATTAAATCAGGGGGCAGAGGCTTTCAGAGACTATGTGGAACAAGAAGAGAGGTTTAAGGTGGGGTTTGCTCCCCTTCCATAGATTAAAGGGAGCGATTCCTAAAAAAAAATAGTAATGGGTTACTTTTTCACCACTTTGTTGAATCACAGTACATAAATGTGTTGAGTATTATACATGTCTGGAAAAATTCCCTCATTCCCACATCCCTCTGTTCACACAGCCATGTGTTCAGAGGATGCACAGTAACAATGTGGGCCTTTGGATTCCAAGTCTTTCCCTGGTTTCAGTGCAAAGCATAATTTGTTTTCTACCATTGTTACAACTTTTCCAATAATGATGGTTGCTAAGAAAAACTTGAGGTAGAGGCAGAACTTTTACATACAAATGCCCAAGCAAGGGTTTCTCAACTGCATGAGAAAAATTCATAAAAACAGTCCTGGTGGATCAGGGCATGCCCCTTAGTCCAACATTCATTCATTCATTCATTCTGCATTCCTTATTCAAACGTAACATTTTTTCTGCCAGAACTTGTGATCCTGTTTGTTCTCATTAATATATGCTTTCTATTTTCTGAAGGAAACTTCTCAACCTTTACAGCTTCTAGGACCCTACTAGAAAGCTATGCTGGCCTATTTCTGGATTTGGTTAACCCTTTTTTTCATCTTTCAGGGCAGATGTATGATTATTGCTCAACTCTGTGATCTTCTATAGAGAATCCTCTCTACAAAACTAAGTATCATAAGGAGAATGGAGGGTTATGACTTTCATGGTGGTTCGCCACTCCTTCTCTGTTTTTTAATTACTGTAAGGAATATGGATGACTGAACTTTACTATTATTACATTCCATACTTAGCCTTTGTGAACATAAGTGTGATGGAATGTATCTACGAGGAGAAGAGCAATGTGGGAGATCAAGGCTATCAGGAAGGAGGGGGTGCATTCCAGGAGGGGAAAGGAGACAAAAGACAACACAGTCTGCAGGGGGAGCTTGGGAAGCAAAACAGGTTCAGGATAGCCACTCCCTAGAATCTCCCAGGGTATATCCACTTGTTGCAGTAGTATAGATTTAGTTGGGCCAGATT